GGCCATTCCTTAATAATAATCTCAAGACTGTATATTTACCTTCTTTTAAGGATCACTTAGAAATATGAAATGGATTAATCCACTAACCCAGAGATTTTGGACAATTAAGACTTTTTACAGCATTCTGCATGATTAAATGGCATTTCACTTTTATTACCCTGGCCTTTTCAAAAGTGATAACGATTAAGACTCATAACTTAGAGACTTTACAATGTTCCAGAAACTCTGCTGCATATGTTACAGGTATTAATCATATAATCCTCACAATAGTCCTATAAAGTAATTACTAGCAGTTAGCTCCATTTTATAGAGGAACAAACTGATCCTCAGAGAAGCTAATTAACTTGAACACGGTAAGAATGCACTGAAACCCACTGGAGAGTCTGAATCCATAGTCCGCTTGCATTAATCACCAGAATATATCATGTATGTTAGTGACTCATTTCCATATTATTAATTAAAAAAAACAATCCAAGTGGGATCCTTAAATAAATTCACTCAGTATACGCAGCAAACTGGCATGGAATTCACCCACATATTTGTTCACTCATCACTAAACAGACATTGTTTTAGGTTTTTGGGATCTAGCACAGAACAAAACGCTCCATCTCTGGGCCTTTACGGGAGAGACAATTGATCAACAAGATAAGGAAATATACTAAATAGAAGGAGAAAAGGGTTCTGAAGGGTTGGCATGTGTGTATTTTATTGTGGACTAGAAGAAGCAGGCAGGCCTCCCTACCAGGACAAATGACATAATGGATCAGAGAAGAGCCCTGGGTTTCACATAACAAGGTCATCACTGTGGTCTTGACAAGAACAGCCTCAGTGCACTGAGGGGTCAGGGCTCTGAGGAGTGGCTTTAAGAAACAATAGAAAAACAGCTTGTAGAGGAAAGGATGAACAATGGTTTCCAAGGGACAAAAAAGAAATGAGTCAGTAATTGGAAAAATAGAAGAAAACCGCAGAGAGAGTCTCCCCTCTGTCTTCTGAGATAGAATTGATGGTATGTGGATGGCAGTAATGCAGAGGAAAGGGATGTTTTGATGATGAGAGAAGAGAGAACTGATCGAGCCACGTCTTTAGTGAGGCGAGAAGCTAAGGCATCCAGTGAAGAAATGGAGGAGGTGGATTTAGGTAGAAGGTGAGAAATTCATTCACCACGGTAACAGGAAAAAAATCTCTGCTATGTGGTCACGGATGATACAAGGAGGTCAGATGTGCCAAATAAAGCAGAAATGATGACATGCAGAATAATTTATTAGATTTCTTTGAGGCCCACATTCTGACTTGTTTAGCTTTGCTGAGTATCTATTTTCTATAAAATTGGGGCAAACAGGATCTATCTTATGAGATCACTGTGAAGATTAAAAGTTATCTATTTTGGGGCTCAGAGGACTGACCATATGCTAACAGACTGGCAAATGCTGAGTGTTTTAGTATAGTTATTATTATGATTACCCCTACTACTATCATCATCATTAATTGTACACAATGCATATTATGTACCTCTGATTCCTGCATTGAATTTTACAGCTCCTTAGCATCAAAGAAAATGCAGTCTCTGGGGAAAAGAGCAAGTTGTCAGTTGTAACATGATTTGTTCAACATAGTTTTGTCTAATGCGATGTTGGCACCGTAATTCGAAAGGCTCTAAATTGAATCAATTCTGATTTTGTTAGTCTTTGAAAAGAGTGTTACATTCTACTGAACCAAATACTTCTTAGAGTAAACAAGTAGGCAGCATTTTGAAATCCAGTATTCGCTACGTTTTTTGATTAGCAAGCAGAAGGAATGAATGTGATCAATACTTGGATTCCTTGAGCAAAATATATTTCCTTTGTGAAAATCTGTTTTGACGCGTAGGCTGCTTCCTCTTTCCTCCCCCTCCTCCCTGCCACTTGTCCTGATGTTGCTGCCCCCCCCAGTCCGGCTTATCATCACCTCTTCCCTGGACCATTTCAATCTTCCGCTCCTGCCTCCCCGTCCCTCTCCCACACAGAGTCCATTCCCTGCACAGCAGCGAGCTTGGAAAATTTTGTGTCCCAACAGGACACTACTCAGAAAACCTCCACAGGTTTTCTGCAATGGAATAAATCACAAACACCCTCCATGGTTTAGAAGTCCTGTGGAACTGGCCGCTGACTACCTCTCCAAACCATCTCTTACTGCCCGCTCTCTGCCCACATCACTTCCATCATCCAAATCAGCATTTTGTTCTGTGAGCACAGCCTGATCATTCTCCACTCAGGGTGTTTTGCTCTTGCTGTTCCTTCTGCAGAAAACATCCCTTCCACACGACTGGCCTCTTACCATTTATGTCCCCATTCATGTACCCCCTCCTCAGAGAGGACTCCCTATCCTCCTGAACTACAGTTCTGTCCTGCCCCCTCACCCGTTTATCTCATTTATGACACTTATCATTAGCTTGTCATCTTGACGGTTTCTATGTTCGTTTCCCGTCTTGTTGCTCAAATGTACAGACTCTGATGAGTTGCATATAAAACTTAGATGTCTCCTTCATTGCTTTATCTACATTCTACAGAAAGTGGGAGCTCACTGAATTTAATAGAAAGAACAAATAAATTTCAATTCCTGTATTTTTGTAGGTGATACAGTTAAAACCCTAACAGGCCAGAATGACCTTAAGCTGTCACACAGGGTTTTATCCAGAACCTGAGGGAGCTATTTTAGTAGTTATTTATTCCTTCATTCCTTAAATCACTCAGCCAATAAATCACTCATTTCTTAGTTGCACTTTGTAATCTAACTTTGTATAAAGTTTTCATCTGATCATTTTCAAGTTTGACAATGTATATTATATATAGAACACAAATTAGAATTAAATATCGAAGACTATAGAATGTACTGTGCCATTTGATGCTTGATAATAAGGAAGCGGAAGGTTTCTTTCTCCCGGAAGACTAACATGCTGCTTTAAAAATGTTAAATTATATATTCATAGATATTTAGAGAAACACCTCTTGGGAAAATATAAATTAAATTCAAGACTACAAACATAGATAAGTAGAATGAATTTGTATATCGAAATGGAAGATGTGCTTTTAAGGGCAAATGAAATTGAAGGTGAGGCCAGACATAGGAAGAACAAAGTATATGACATGCAAGAACTCAGAAAGTCTATGCTGGTTTCTATATATTGTTTCTAACCCACCACTACAGGTAGCTCAACGGAATCATCTAGAATTCTGTAGTGCAGAAATGGTAGACAAGGATAGGGGACTGAGGAGAAATATAAAGTTTTTTGAAAGGACATGATCTCTTCTTTGAAAAAAAATATATGTATACATACATGCTGATACCTATATATGTATATGTAAATATATATACACTTATATACACACACTGATACCTATAAATAAAATGTATTTCTTGAGCGCCTATTGCTATTGATACCAGGTATCGTGTCAATAGCTTTAGATGTATTATCATCTCATTTAACACTCATAACATCTCTCTTGGTACTATTATTGGCTTACTTTAGATGAGGAAATGGGAGCAGATGTAATTCGATCTGTATCGGGTCAGAGAGCAGTAAATGACAGATCCCGGACTCAACCTGGCTAAGTCCGAAGCCTGTGTTTAGCAAACACATAGAAACCGTATCCTGTTGATCTAAACACATTTAAATGGGTCGCTGCTGCTTTTCCATAATCCATGTGCCATGAGAACAGCCAGAGAATAATCTGTTGTTTTTTTAGGAGTTATTTCTTTTGTTACTACCTTAACTCTAAAAGTAAATAGCTAAATTCCCCCCCACCTCTTTTTTTAGATTAAAACCTTGAAAGATCTTCAGTGAAATGTTGAATAAATTATGGTATCTCCATATTCTAAAAATGGTGAAACATTACAATAGATGAGTTCTATCCTTATGAATTACCCTGGAAGAATGCCCATCACACACTGCTAAGTGAAAACAGCAACATGCAGAGGCATGTGATCCCTGTTTGTTGTGGGAATGCACACAGAAGTAGAGAAAGGTGGAGTCCATACCCTTAACAATGGTTATCTAGTTGTGTGGGGAATCAATTTTTAATTTCATCTTTATAGCATGATTTATTTTAATGAGCATGGGTTACTTTTGGAATTAATAATGAATATAAAGTAATTTTTTTCAAAACTATTTGTTTCTAAATATAATCTTCCTATAAGTTTGAATAGCTTCTTCAGATGATCTTCTTTCTTAACCTTTTCTCCTTCAACCAAAGTACCAGATTTTTGTTTTACACGTTGAAATTCCAGTCAAGATTACCACTGAATGAAAGACTCCCTAGCAAAAGTAAATTTGAAAACATCGGTCCCCATCTGATTCAATGGCAACTACTGAACATGGGGCATTGTCTGTCTATATGTATGTGATTGAGATTATTAATTACTAATATACTAATGAGAAATTCCATCCTACTCTTTATATTATATCAAAAGCCATACAAATACAATTTGAAGACTAAATATGAAATAAGCTTGATTTATTTAACTTGAATGACCATTCAATGGATGGCATAGAAAAATACTAATCTGCATTCCAGGGCTTTGGTAATGCAACCACCAGATTACTTAGAGTACGTTCATTTGGTGTTCAGACACCTTGAAAGGAAAATTCTAGGCAAAACAATTTAAAACACTATTCTATAGCTTTAAAGGGCTCTAGAGTAGCTAAAAATTGATAGAACTAGAAAGGATGTCTTAACCAAGCCTGAACTATCTTTCAGTTAGGAAGCACATCCTGAATGAGTGCATAAGCCTTCCCTTCCAGTCTATTTCAAAATAACCAGCAGACAGCTTAGCTTAGTCTTGTGATTAGCTCATTTGCAGAATGGATGTAACACACAAACCTCAAGGTTCAGTGCCTCTTTCTATAAACCTGTCTCCTGGCTCAGCTATGAGTTCTGTCCATTCCTCTAGAGAATCCCATGAGAATCATCAAGAGAATCATCACTGATTGACAAGGTATGAGCCAAGGTGCTTTTAAAACCTACCATTCTAACGCCGTTTTCAAAGGCTTGCCGGGTGAGTGGAGCCGGTCCATCCACGGTCTTGCCATCATCATCAGGGCCCCAGCTTGCACTGTAGATATGCACGTGCTGAGGATTGAAGCTAACCGATTTTGCTTCAACCATGTCCGTGACATCTCCATCCAGCATCCGAACCCCTTCCAGACAGAAGGGAATTAGCTTGAATAGAGGCTTCACTATATAACACCCAAACAGCCCAAGACATATTTCCAATTACAGCAATTTGGGGGCAAAGAATCAACTTTTTAATCAACACTTAAGTGAACATCTTCTCCGCCCCCCCCATGCAGACTCTTCCAAAGCTTTCCCGGAGAGAAAGTAAATTACGTCATACGGGAGAAAGCAAAACTTCTTTAAAATCTTTTTTATCCATTATTCTCTTTTTTAAAGTTTCCACAATCTCTCCCTTCTCTTTCTCCCTGTATTCAGAGAGTACTTGACAGAGAGAGCCTCAAGGAATCCATCTTCCCTAAACTTCTCTTCATTAGGTAACTTGTGTTCATAATTGATATAGAGCATTCTGACCTTAGCGGGCTCACAAAATTTGGAAAGCCACCAAGTTAGGTTGGTTTAATTTCCTCCGTATTTAATATTATCTCCTAATCTGTAAGACTGATGTGAACTTAATACATTATTTCTTTGCCAAGTTATTTATAAGTCAAATAATAAATGAGAATGCTCTCTTTGCATGTCACACATCAAATCAGTCTCCAAGGGTTTTAGCAATGTTCAGTCATTAGTCTTCATTTAAGCATATTCCCACCAGACAGACCTTAATAGGAAAAAAAATTGACACAGAGATCCCAAAATAAATTACATGTCAAATGTCAGGCTTTCTTTCCTTTTATTTTGGAGACTCAGAACAACAATAAAACATCTAATTGTGAAGTAAACCTATCTCTCCTTCAGCTTAAGCTGAATAGCCTCACTGAGATGCTGTATTATTTTACAATTATATCTTTACAGCCCATGTTTACTCCTTAGAAAAACCTTGTTCTCTAGCGGGATTTCAAGCTTTTATGGCTACCAGCCCATGGGGCTTAAATAATAAAACCACTAATCAGGCAGCTTTGATACTATGCGGTTTGAGGTGGGACTTCTGGTAGAAAATCAACATATTCTTGAAAAAAACTATACCTTCTTTGTGCTTTAAAAATGTTTAACTTTTAATTCTAAAATTTACAAACATAAAAGAAGAAATGACAATGAGCATTGAGACAGACAAAACTTAACTGGTAACATTCTGCCATATTTCCAGCAGAACCTTTTTAAGCTACATGACAGGTCACTATACCCTTTAATATTTATTTCCGAAAGAACAGTGGAAATCAACATTCAGGACACACTGAATTTCCTCAAAGTGCCCCTAAAGACACAGCACTGATTATTATATCTCTTGACTGTCTTTTCCTCCAGACCTTTGGATTTTTAAAGGAGATGGATAGAACAACTGATATGGATCACAAGGGTTATAAATAAGTTACTTTAGAAATTATCAAATGGAAACTGTACTTAGAAGGCTTTTCAGCACTTTGTTTTGTGGGGGTAGAATGCCCAGCCTGATGCTCTTTGTATATACTGGGTCCTAAGCAGCCACTGGTTTACTTTAATTTGACATGAATATTCAAAATTCACCTGCATGGTTTTTACTGAAAACAAGATGAACTATTTCATATGCCTCCATTTTTACTTCTTGCTATTTCAAAGCAGAAAATGGAACTACAGTTGACCCTTGAACAACTCAGAGTTAGATGCACTAACATTCCCCCCCCACCACGAAGTCAAAAATCCACGTACAACTTTGACCCCCCAGACACGTAACTACTAATAGCCTACTATCGCTTGGAAGCCTTACCAACAACATAGAGTTGATGAACACATATTTTGTATGATATATGTATTACAGATTATATTCTTACCATAAAGTAAGTTAGAAAAAAGAAAAGGTTATTAAGAAAATCTTATGGAGGAGATAGTCCATTTACAGTAGCGTACTTGTACGTACTGAAAAAAAATATGTATACAAGTGGACACACACATTTCAAACCTGTGCTGTTGAAGGATCAACTGTATTTTACCAGTACAAAGAAATAAACACTGGACTATATAAATGCCTGAAATAACCTAACCGGTAATTCGAAATGCCAACACATAGAGGAGTATCTACATGATACCTGAGTGCAGTTTCTGGGTCATGCAACTGATGGAAGTCTAGGAAAAAAATGCTTGATGAAATCATATCTAGAGGGTAATACTCCTTTTCTGACCACAAATTAACAAGGAAGACTTTTGCTTCCTCAAGTTTAAAGATGAGAGGTTGATTTTTCCTTATATCTGACTGCAAGCCTTGATGCTTTGGGTCTGGGTGGTTCGGTATATAATTCAGAATGTTCTTGTTTTGGGGATGACAGAACATTGGTGAGTCATTGCCATACATGTTCTTACTGAAGTCCTGTGTGGCTAGATCAGAAGTTTGTCTGTGAGTTTGTTCCTTCAGTCCCTCAGGGTCAGGGAATGCTGGGTTAGTGCAGGACAGTGAGGACCTGGGCAACAATGTGTGCTGGTCTATGTGAGGGACTCTGTGTGTCATGTCTGGGACAGCAAGCAGGGCTGATTAGTAGCCACCATAGTCATTGGATTCTCTTGAGACTATCAGGGCCACCATAGTCATTGGGATTCTCTTGAGATTATCAGGGCCACCATAGTCATTGGATTCTCTTGAGACTATAAGGGGTATCCAGCACCCTTATCATTCTTCAGGGGAAATTTCTGTCTCCTTTCTTTAGCTCCTTCATGAACCTTCCCCTTTGACGCTCAGCAGATGTTGTCAGAGTATAGCTAACTACTGGTTAACAAGCGGCCATACTCTAAGAATTTGGTGTGAAATAAAGGAGAGAGAGAGGTCAAATGCACTGAGCACTGACATTCGAAGTAGTGTCAGGAAACTTTTCCTTAGCACCGTTAGTGTACATCCCAAATGTCATGTTACAAAACCTCTACATTTACTCTAGGAAGGACTGGTTAAATTTTAGATCCAATTCTATTTACCACTTGGCAACAATAGTGTAGGGAAAACAAAGATGTCAGTCTAGTCACCAGGAAGTTCATTCATCTGTGACACTGTTTAGGGGAACCCCCAGGGGACACCTTGGAACCACTAGGATCTATAGTGTCTGTTAGCATGTGTTCACCCATCTGTGTGTGCCTGTGGCACCAGGCTAGAGCTAATGGAAGATGATTACAAAGGGCAAAGAGTTTGCTTCTATTAACACCCAGATTTTACATTCCCTTGGTTAGGTCCTCGTAGTAGGCATATGTATAGAGTTTGTGAATGTGTGTAATGTATATACATAATCTGGGATTATTAACAATATCTCTATCGCTCTATTATGGGTCTACAAAAGGAGATTATACCATTTTCCATTTTAATTTCCATTAAAAAGGAACTTTTGGTAAAACATAAAGAAAAAGGAAAAAAATGGATTTTCTGTTTTGATACTAATTTCAGAATGTCTCTCTCCATAGAGATATTATGGGCTGGTGTTTAGATTATCAGTTCTTTCCGAGCCAGGCAGCCATTGTATAGCTCGGGACAGATGTCAATGACCCCATCTTCATGACTGGACATGCTTTTCATGCCCGTTTTAAAGCAAGAAATGTCTGGGCTTGCACCCCTGTAGGAGTACTGCTTCAAAAGCCCTGAACTATATTTAATAACACACATGAAGATGGTCATTTTCGACAACAGCTGAACACTACTCTGCCAACACAGCCCTGTCTCGAGCTCAGAAAGGGTTCTCCATCCACCCAAGTCTGTTTCCCGTACCTCCGATCTTGGCATTGAAAGCAATTCCAACTGTGCAGTGAGAGTTGTTCGCTGCGGCTGCCACTTCTCCAGCACAGCGGGTCCCATGCCTGCAGGGAGAACACACACACTTGCTCAAGTAAGATGCTCCATTCTTCCCAACTCACATTGTCATCGCCTCCAGTCAGACTCCGAAGGGGGGAAGCCTGCATCAAGCTGTGGAGGTTTCTGGAACTTCTACTTAAGGAACCCTTAGCCTTACACTCTGTTTTGGATTCTATGATTGATATATATATATATTTTTTATATCTTGCTTTCCCAACTAGAGAATCTCCTTGAAAGCTAAAATTGAATGGTATGTTTTTTTGCATTCTCTAAACTTCCACTGTCCAATATGGTAACCACCAGCCATCCGTGGCTATTGGGTACTTGAAATGTGGCTCTTGTGACCTTATCTCAACTTTAATTTTAATTAAATTTAAGAACTGGTACTCAATTGTTATTACAAAAATTAAGAATGGTGGTATAGGAGAATCTGCTTCTTAAACCGTAACTTAAATAGAGATCAAGTACCTCCAGTGAAATCTGTCATCTAAAATATGACATGCTGTAAATATACACTGTTGGATTTCTAAGATTTTGTGTGAAAGAACAATGTGAAATATTCCACTAATATGTGTTCTATGTAAATGACATGAAATCTTTTATTTAATAAAATATATCATCAATATTTGTATCACCTGTTTCCACCTTTTTTTTTTTTAAGATTTTATTTATTTATTTGACAGAGAGAGGTATAGCGAGAGAGGGAACACAAGCAGAGGGAGTGGGAGGGAGAAGCAGGCTTCCCACTGAGTGGGGAGCCCGATGCGGGGTTCGATTCCAGGACCCTGGGATCATGACCTGAACCGAAGGCAGACGCCTAACGACTGAGCCACCCAGGAGGCTCTGTTTCCACCTTTTTAAAAATGTGGCTACCGGAAAAGCAAATGCCTTTTTCTGAAAAATATTCCTTTTATTTCTCATCACAGTGACTTCGTTCCTCAGAAAAATCCTTTACTTGAAAGAACTTCTAAGATCATCCTATGCAAGGCGAGCAAAGAAGTTCCAAGTGCAAAGTACCATCTGTTTAGAAATGTGTTGACCTAACACTGTGTTGAGAAAAATCCTGAGGTCTGGCTGAGCCCAGGGAAAGGAATCTAGGGCTGATGGCTACCATCTGCCCTGGATGCAGAAGAGGACTATGACAACCACTACGGGGGTATTTGTCATTGCTAATGAAGCCCAAGCCTCACCCCCTTGCCCTCATTTTTAGAGATGAGGATGCTTAAGGAGGCCCTGAGATGTAAAGAGATAGGGTGAAGTCAGCCTAACAGTGACTAAGACTTGGGTCCCCCCAATTCTATGTCATTACTTTTATTTAACAGCATAGACCACGCTCATCATGGGCTATGACTACCATCTATGCAAACGTAAACAAGTTACTACTTACGAAGGATACATACACATGCAAGTTTCTACAACAGAGATGTATCCTGCTCTGTACACTTAGTAATGTCATGCGTATCTTCCTATGTAAATATTAGCCTATATGTCATTTAAAAGCTTACTATTATCTCCCGTCATCTTTTAAATGGCATCTTCCTCCACCCCCCCCGCCCCATAATCTCTCTCACAAGTCCTCGATTTCTGGAAATTTACCCAGTTTTTCCACTGAGAGTAACAAGGTTATGAAAAACAATCTTGAGCATGTACATACTTTTATACCTTGAGACAAATTCCTACAAGTGGAATGACTAGATCAAAGAGCACAGAATATATTGTCAAATTGTTAACGGAAGATTAAAGTAATAAAACTAACTTCAAAAAACCCCTGCAAGACGGATAAGTATTACTACAAAACATCATATTTTTGCGCATGACAAAAAAAAAAGACCTTAAGCTGACTCGAATGACAATATGAAGAATGGAGAAAATATATGAACAGAGCCGTGTCTATAAACCCCTATGTATGAGTTTTTCAATCTTTTCATCCTCGCCAATCTGACATGAAAAATGTTATCTCGTTGTTGCTTCCCTTTTATCCCCTCAGATTACATTTGTTATTGTCCATCTTTCAAATATTTATTAGCTATTTCTATTTCTTGCTTTGTGAATAACATTTTCATACCTTTTGCCCACATTTCTTACCGCTTTTCCATCAAACCTGTTGCACATATATTTCCCCATATGTTATTTGGAACACAGCAATCTTATTTATGGCAATTTTAGGTTGTTCTACCCAGTAATTAATTTTGATGCATTCATAATTATCTTCCCCTTCTGATATTTGGTCATACCAGTTTAATCATCAGAAAAATGATCCACTTTTAAAAGAAAAAAGATTTCTTTTGTAAAATACAAGCTGAACTACTCATTTTACCTCTGAGCCCAGCAAGTATTTACTATGATTCTTCATTAGTCTCTGATTGCACATTACTTCATGGTATGTTACTTTTTTTCCTCAAATGTCAAATTCCCTTTATGAGTCCATTGTTCTCATACTTCATTGTCTCTATTATTAAGGTAAGTGCTACAGGAGCATAAGGATCTGATTTTAATTCTCCAATTGTTATTTATGAGTCCATTATGACAAGTTTGTTCATTGTATTGTGGATTTGATAATGTTTTTTACGGTTCTGTCAATTTTTTATTTAGAATGGAATTATTAAATATTCCTAGTGAAACTATTTATGAATATGCAGTAAAACTCTGGGATTCCTGCAGTAAAAAAAAATTAAAATAAAGATACCAGGTTAATAATTAAATTGTATAACTTTTTCCCCCTTTACTATCAAACATTCTGTGTTCGTATCAGTTATATCTCTTACAAATACTACTTTTTTTGAAGCTAGGCTATCTTTGTCTTTAACTCAAGAATAAGTCAATTTACAGAGACTAGATCCCATTGTAACATGATATATTTATGTTCCTTTCTGTATTTTTCTCCCTGTATGAGTATGGTTGTCATACATTCTATTAGCTAACGTTTACTATAGCTATTTGCTCAAGGATACCTAACATCACAAAGTCTAAAAGTCATCAATACTTTTTTCAATTTTTCCCAAACAATACAGACTAGAATATTTTATTTTTAAAAGATTTTATTTATTTGTCAGAGAGAGAGAGCACAAACAGGGTGAGAAGCAGACTCCCAGCTGAGCAAGGTACCCAATGTAGGGCTCAATCCCAGGACCTGGGATCATGACCTGAGCCAAAGGCAGATGGTTAACTGACTGAATGTTTTAACTGTGATTATTCACCTTTTAATACATGAAATCCCTGTGATTATAGTTATACATTGGATTTTTTAACTTTGGAAACTACCATTAGTGTCACTATTTTGAATAATCAATGTTTGTTTTGATATAAAAATATTCTTTGCTCTATTTGTTCTTATAGTTCATAACTCCTTCTAGGATCATGCATTTTTTTTCTGAAGAACATTCCAATAAATGTGTCCATCAGAGAGTCTTTTGGTAGCCTCAGAAAATGGCTTTATTTTACTGTTGTTCTTGAAAAATAATTTCACTGGGAATAGAATTCTAGACTAACAGCTCTTCAAGGATTCCATTCCACGGTCTTCAAGTTTCCATTGTTTCTGGTGAGAAATCTGCCATCTTGGCATTCTAGTTCTCTCTGGACACTTTTCAGATCTTCTCTGTCTTTTCTACTCTGCAGGTTCATTAAGATGTTGTGTTTGGATTTTTAAAAATTCTTTCTTGGAGGGCGCCTGGGTGGCTCAGTTGGTTAAGCGACTGCCTTCGGCTCAGGTCATGATCCTGGAGTCCCGGGATCGAGTCCCGCATCGGGCTCCCCGCTCAGCGGGGAGTCTGCTTCTCCCTCTGACCCTCTCCCCTCTCATGCTCTCTATCTCTCATTCTCTCTCTCTCTCTCAAATAAATAAATAAAATCTTTAAAAAAAAAAATTCTTTCTTGGAATTCCTAGACCTGTGATTTAATGCTTAAATCATCATAAGTTTTAGCTCGTACCTTTGAAAGCTACCTTAATCTTTCAATTTCACCGTCAGATTTCCCATATCCTTCTCTCTCTAGGCTGCTCTCCATGTAATCTGCTCAGTTCTATATTTTACTTCTCTTCAGCCATGCCTAACCTGCTATTTAGCCCATTCATTGCATTACTCCTGTCGAGCATATGTTTTATTTACTTATTTTTTTTTGAAATTCTTTTTCAAACCCACCTTGTTAATTTGAATAGTTTCTTTAAAAATACTGTTCAATTATATGTATTGGAACATATTTGATATATGTATATTTCTTGATATATATGAATTATATGTAATAATTCTCAAACATGTCAATCTAATTCTGCTCTTTTTGCTGCTCGATTGTTTATATTGTGATATTTTCCCCGTGTGGTGGGTGAACTGTCCATTTAGGAGGTCATGTTGTTTGGACTTTTATCTTTGTGAATTCTTTGAAGCTGGAGTAGACGACGCATCAAGCGTTCTGTTTTATGCAAGTCTTTTCTCACCTCACTGTCATCCCTGTGCTTTTAAAAAATCCAGCTCCAGGCTGGCTGGGTTTGACTGATCACTCTGGAAAATTCCTAGTGTCCACTTATTGCCTACCTCATTTACAGACCTGAACTTTCTCAGAGAAATACTCTGTGTTCCATTAGCTCAACCATGCACTAAAAAATTCTTTAATATTTTCCCAAGAGTTTTAGATGTACTACAGAAGAGATTTAATTGAATATCTTTTCTACCATAATATTTTTAAAATGTAAGAATTAACTTGGCTCTGTATTCCTAAAATGCAATAAAACCCTGCACATATTATGTGCATCATTAATGTACAGTGGATTCTCCTAAGTAATGAAAAGAGGGACTCTTTCCTTATAAAAACATTTCTTGCAAAGATTTCTGTATATTGATGTACATCATGAGCAATGATGAACCGTTTTTGGGAAACAGGGACGTTATCACTCTACTGCTGATGCATATATTTTAAATATCACTTAAATAATATACTGTAACATGCTGTAATTGAGGGTCCAAACTGCTAGCTCAACTACATTTAAACAGTCCACTCTCTTCAGATGACAATG